AAATAAATCTTTAGATATTCTCCCTACAGCCTTTCCCTAAGCATTCAGCACCTTTTTTCCGGAGTTGCCGTCCCGTGTGGAGGCGAGCAATGGCCAGGCGTCTGGTCGCCTTAATTCTAACGTAGCACGTTTATTCTATCAAACGGAAAATCTTTTCGGACAAGCAAAACCCATGAGCATCTCCACCTTTTGCAACGCCCGATATACGACGGGGAGCAAAGCGCGGGGTCACTCGAAGAGTTTTGTTCTTCCGCAGAGTTCTACCTGTGCCTTCAAGCTGCCCTTTAAGAGCTACAGTTCGTAGTGGAATATTCTCAGAAGGGAATCTAAGGTGGTGGTAGTTATATGAACACATGCATACAAACTTCCCAGGGCCTCTCTGAGCTCTGCAAACTTTTCACAGTGCGCTGCGTTTTAGGACTGTCGTTAGGTAGGCAAAGAAGCAGGCTGTGATAGAACACAGGTCAAGCTGTGCCAGTCGTGGGTGGACAGAACCCCATCGGCGGGAACGGAGTTTCTATGTCTTTGGTTCAGTGCATGACTGCTCACAGGCCTCAGACAATCATTAAGATGCTGGGAGGCGGAGAGGGAACGAATGGATGAAGGGGTGGAGCTGCTCGCTCATGATATGGAAAAAAGACTGCTTCGACCAGTAAAGAACAGATGGAGCAAAATGATTTTGAACTGCAGAGATACGGCATGTGAATATTGAGGCTGTTAGTATTAACTCAACCCAACCAACAAAAAGGTGCGAGCCGAGGACACACTGTCGGAAAGCTTGCCACTCAGACAGCCGTGGGGGAGTACTGACCGGCAAGGGTACTTCTTCTGCATTAAACAGTGTCACCAACTTCGCGCTTTGCAGATGCAGACGGGAAGCTAAGGGTCTAGAAGAGCAACATGTGAAGGAGCGCTGCCAGGGGAACAAAAAGGCGATGAGGGAAAGCTCCTCTCCTCCATGCAGCACGCGATGCGATGCGCTGAAGCGGGTGAAAGGGGTGGCTCCCGCACCTGCAGAGCCACCTCTAGTACTTCTCCCTGGCTACATCAATGCGCGAGTGTTGCGAGTTCTACTTTGCACATTCTTCCAAATCAAGCCGCTATCTGCAGCTGCGGAGAGGAAGTTAACCCTGCGTTGTCTGTTCGTTGGCACAATTTCTGGAACAATGTTCCACTGACGGCTGACGGCTTCCACAAATTGCTCATAATCCCCTAATACGGGACTTCTACCTTGGAAAGCTTTAACATACAAAATAGGCCTGGGCACATCTTGGGTGGCTTCTCGTCATATTTTCCCCAACGGTGTCCTCTGGGCGCCCTCTTCTCTCCCTTGGCTGCGAGAGTGCAGCTTTCAGCGTTCCCACCAGCTCTTGAACCGTCTACAGCAGAATTTTTGTCCCAAGCGAAGAGACAGAAGAAGTTGAAACGACGCAAGAATGCGTACAGGCCGTCGTGATACTCCGATGAAAACTACTCTTTTGGGGGAGTTCCGACCCAAATGAGACCTGAGGAGCAGCAGAAGTGGGTACAATTGAAGCAAGATTTCTAAGAGTTCCCGCATGCACTCAATAACATGAGCTTCCATCAGGCCTGCCAACCTCTGGAGGCACAATTCACCGCATGGAATTCACTCGCGCGGCAGCTCAAAGGGTTGTACAGATGCCTAAGCGAACTCTCGATTTCGAGGAGGAAATCCGGCGGCAAGCAAACGAACTGCTAAGAAAAGACAAAACGCAACTGTAAATTCGCTAGTTTTAAACTACCCTTATTCCCAAACAATATTCGCTAAACTCCATACAATGGCCTGGTAAAGCATACGCTGCTGATGCCCCAGACCGAAGAACTTGGCTGCTTGCACGGTCCAGCTGTCTACTCATCGTGTGACTTTGCTGACGCACTTTAGCAGATCCATATTGATGTTGAGAACGGGCACAACAGTGGGTTCTGCATTAGTACTCTCAAAACAGAATACAGCAGTATGCCATGTGTGCTCGTTGTTGCAAGTACCGAACTTCAAGAAGCAGGGGTGGATTGTTATGCACATGCAGGAAGCGCTGCAGTGGTGTTGCAATAGCCAGGTGCATTTGCAGCATCTGTTGCTTGCTGTGCAGCCGCTGTGTGAGGAACAATGCTTTGCTTGAGTACAAAGGTGTGTTTTTCGTGTTTTTCGTGCATACAACTAAGTCTAGCAGAGATAGAAACCCTTTGGAAGTGGCCCCCAGCGCCTTAGACTCGCTTGCCCGTTCAGAAACTACTGTGCCTCAAACTTTACCTCTGGTTTCGTTCGCACCAGCATCCTATATGTTCGAAAGGGACAAATAACCTATTGGGGCAGAGACCGAAGCATAAGGCCCCAGAAACCTCGTCAGGCACCTGACTCCTGCTGCAGTGCTTGGCCTCCCTGGTTGTGGGAAGCCCTCCCTCCACAAAACTGGTGCCAGTGACACGTGGGCCTGGAACTCTCTCGGTGCGCCAACTATCCGAAAAACACCCAAAATTCGCCTGCTACTGAGACCATTCCACATGAAGCCGGGTATTCAGCACCCGATCAGCATATGGATGAGACTGAGGCCCTGGATAGACGCATACCAACTCAGAGTCAACGGAAAACGAGTACACTGGACAAAATTGTTAGGATTATGGAATTATAGTGTCAGTGCATTCTTGAGGAAAGTTGGTGCGAAGCAACCCCCCGAAAGCATGTGCAGGCTCTCTTCGACTCGGCGGCAGCTACTACGAGGGAGACTGTGCGCAGCGCAGCCCAATAGTAGTCAACTGTCACTACAAGCACTGCTTGAGCTGCAATCTGTGCAACTTTGCTGTCATCATTGTGCTGTTTCTTTAAGCCTTGTGTGTCCGGCGTGGGCAACTGTATTTCTACTTGCGTGCAGGCTACCCTCTAGCGGCTAAGTAAGTATTTAGATGTTAGTACGTGCGTAAAAGCGGGGTTGGCTCTGCTTGGATCTGGAGGTGCCTGGCAACGTAGACGGGTTGCTCTCACAGGCTGAGAGAGTCTGCAGTGTGCCGTCGGGAGGCGCCCCACAGCGATTTGCTAGGAGCAACTTGCAAGAAGCCAGTCTGATTTAAAGGATTATTTGGCAATGCTAAGGCATTTTATAGTTTTGCTCCCCCTAGCAAAGGGCAGGACAAAAGGGCCTCGGGCTCGCTCATCAGCAACACCAGATCTGGCCCGCGATTCACGTCACTGTTCCAGCCCCTTATCACCTTACACCTTTTGAGGAGGCTCTGGATAGCACCTCAACTCACTACTGGAAGCTATTTCTGTATTGGGTTGTCGTTGGAAGAGAATGTCCCGATGGTCGAGGTGCTGGAAGCCTATGGAGCTGTCGGCTACAGTTATTTTTGCACAGCCGCTAGTGAAAGAAAGGCCGACTCTCTGAGAGTCCTGAGATCCACAGGGTCCCAACCCCTTGTGTCATTGTCACATTGAACACAGTTTCCTACATTTATATTTAGGCCACGCAGCGAGTTGGTAGTCATTGCCGTGTTACAGAAAAAGCGGCAGTCGTTTCTTCCTATCTACCCGCCCGTTAGTGCCAAACATATTTTTGCCTTGATTTGAGCCCGATTCTTTCCATCTAGAGCTATCTTGATTCCATTTTCTTTATTTTTATTTGGGTTTTCTTTTCCATTCTAGGGCTCGCTACCCCTTGCTCATCCGCCTATTGATATTGCGCGCCGGTTGATGAATATCTTATTAGGTTGGGATGCCCCTCTTAAAGCGAGGCATCCAACCCAGACCAATTGCACGGAACGTCATGAACTAGTGGTTCCAACGCCTCTGGGGTGGAACACCCCAACGATATGCGAATGGACACCCTCCGCAGTAGACCGAGGTAGCATCTGCAGACGCCGCATGCACTCTTTGCCACTTTCACGACGCTCGGGATGCTCATGCACTTAAGGGCTTATTGTGCTGGTGTGACGGGGGGAGGGCAGGTGTACCATGTGTGTGCATGGTGTTGATACATCTTCTTGCGCGCCAAGCTGGCTGCTGATTTCCCTTGAAATCTCTAGGAATGATCTACAATTCGTGGATCAAGCAAGCGCTGCTAGTTTGCATGTAGTACTTCCTTGCAGTGTTGTTGCAGCAACGTTCACTGCAGCTGATGACAGACAGCTTGCTCTTCGAACAAGCGTCAGGGCTGCTCGGGTGAGGATACCTCGGGACTAGACAAGAGGGGACATCAGCTGCTTATTGGGAATTCCCTGTTTAGGTCTATGAATCCACTACAGCTCGCGACAGTCCTCAGTCAAGATCCTCCAAGATCCTTCTGATGCATGCACCAACCCCATTGAATAGTGTTCATCACGTATCTAGCCGTCGGTAGCTGATATGCAAACGAGCAGAACTACTGGGAGCAGCTCCAGTAACACAGAGGGCAATTTTAAAGCTAGCCCTTCGATCTCAGTAGTCAACAGGCCTGAATTTATTTATACATTTAGCAATTTCTGACCACAACCGCCACGCTTCTCAGCTGCCATAGTGCCTTGCACGAAACCGAAGTTCCACTTGTCGTGGGGCGAAGTCTGGAATCCATGAATGCATGCACGCGGAGGTCAAATATGGACAATCCAAAGCTGCTCTTGATGCTATTTTGAAGTTGCATGTTGTTTCTGAACCACGGAAAAATGCTGCCTCGCCATAACCACCGCCTGGGCTTGCTCCAGCGAGAGCCCGGACGGTGGGGCTGGCCAGCGTGCACTGTATCCATCGGTCGCAACGCAGCAAGACCATTTAACACTGGTTGGTGATGGCGTATATGCCATCTTTAAATGGCATATAGGAGTGAAGACGTTGACGTTTTGCATTCGGGGCCGCTGTGGGGTTGTTGCCTTGACTATTGCTGTGGAGGAGGCACTTCTTCCAATTTCGTTGTAGGCGACGCCAATGGGCGCCTTACTACATTTCCCCCTTTGTTCTGCTGCTTATAATTTGCGGGTTCCATCTGTTAGGCAGAACTTGCCTCTGGCTGAAAATGCCGTTGCGACGCCTTTCCGTCTTGGCCGTACGCATACTTCTTTTTCTCTCCTTTGTTAAGAATAGCGAAGCCGAGGTAGGGGTCGTCTCCCCAGACGGATTTTATTTGAGGACGCACAGTACTTTTGGTCCGCAATCATGGACCCTTACGGGGGAGGGCTGCCGAGTAGGCAAGGCCGCGAACTTGGTTGTGACCCCGTTGGGGGGTTCCACCGCTGATGGAGGGGAAGCATTGGACACTCAGAGGGTTGGGCCATTGCTGTGCTCGTGGCTTTCAATGATGGAGAAGGCTCACAACGAAATGCGGGCAGCGTGGCAGAATGAGCACAAGCGCAGAAAGGCTAAGGTGCCATTCTGGAATATATATAGGAGGTTCGTGATGTGGTATCGAAGCTTTCCGGCGCTCGAATTCCATGTTGAAGTTCGTTATCTTGCCTTGTGGAACAAGGATAGATTTGGCCATCCAATGCCATGGGCCACCGCAGTATTTGGGTACAAATGCCCAAAAGGCGACGTAGGCTATGGGCTGTTTGACCATCTTTGCGGCTCAGTATTCTCTCACGGGAGAGACCCCCGCGTGGGCTCGGAGGTGCACCTTCTTCTCCAGCCGCGTCTTGGCTTCAATCGGCCACTAGAGGTTCAGGCAAGCAATTGGCAATATATTTCAGGCGCCCTTGCAGGCCTCCGTGGTGGGAGAACAAAAGATCAACAGGATCGCGACGAGAGGTTTATTTGGCCTGTCTCTGTTTACACCAGAACGAAGTCCATCATGACAATATCTGGGAAGATCGACGATTGCTGGATGAATGATGGCTACTGCTACTTCAAGTGGTAAGTTCATGGTTGGTTGATGCCCAAGCACTGTCCCAGGTGTTTGCGTCCAACGGCCAATTTATTTTGTTGTGTTCGATTGTCGATGGGCTACTTTTGTTACTTGAGCATTTCTATTATTGTTTCAGGTTGCTACGCGTGGAATGGAGTATTTTCGGGGAAACGGTCTGTGAGCGACTGCAGCGGGATGCCAATGCCGGCGTCGGTGGAGCATTTAAGGCGGCAGCCTTGGAAACCGTACAAGTGAACGTAACAGGAATGGATCTCTTTAATTTCACCAGGCCAGTGCTTTTTGGAGCCTTAGAGGAGGGATTGCTTCTGCCTGATTCAGGGAGCGGTTTCGTGTCAATGGCGATTGACACTAACCCGCACAACCTTGCAAATTTCAAAAGAGCGAAATCTACGTCGCGTAACGTACGAGCGGCAGGGCTTGTGCTTAAAGGCATGAGCGAGCTTTTCAACATGGGAACGAAAGATACCTGACACCTGTGGCTTTGGTCCTGTTGCGGAACCGCATCATTCCATCTGTTAACGTGGCGTGTCTATAAACGGTTTATCGGCGGTGATTGGCAGACCTTGATTTTTGGTAAGTGTTTCATTGGAGGGTATCTTATCGTTTCGCAGTGGAATTGCCTTTCGTCATACGACGAGTCGAGGCTTGGCTACTGCAACTTGGCTTGTTTTTTTTCGATGGCCCACTGGGCCAATTTTTGGTGGGTGAGTTGTTCGTGGCCCGAGTGCGTACTCTGGAAGCCTGGCCAATGAATGACGCAGAGAGGCTTCATCTGTACCCATCCCCTCAGGGAAGAAGAGGAGGACAGGTGAAGTTTCGTTGCGTGAATCAGGGTTTCTCGATATCGTGAATACCACTTCACTCTATGGCTGGTGTGCCGCGGCCTGCTGCTGCTTAGGACTTGCAGCCGTTTTGAACCAAAAACCCTCTGTTTTTCGGATATTTAAACGAGAAGCCTTCTGCTTCTCAGTGTTTCGACAGTTAAGGCCGGCGTACGCGTAGTGGCAACTTGCCGAATTGGCTACCACACGTCAATCGTGCAGGGGGCCGGCTTGCTGCAAGGACTGCGGGATCACCTGTTGAAATTTTTCGACAATTGCCATTTTCGAAAGCTAGCTAAAGGAGATCCTACCACAGCTGAGCGCGTAGCTAGTACGAAAACACACTTGACAACCAATAATACGATTTAGCTTTCAGCACACAACGCCAAGTGTGGACATAATATATGTGACGTGCACTTACAACCTTCCGTCTTGGGGAGATCGTAGAACACTAGCCGAAGCGGGGGGCACGTAGGGGGACAATACCTCCAACATGAAAAAATTGGCCAATGCCGTTGGGAGGTAATTCGTGAGTCATTCTTCGCGGCCGCTTTACCGCAAGTGGGCAGCCGTGTGCTGTGAAGAGTATTAAATGCTCGCCACACTGTGACGATGACGAAATTTCACAGCTTAGCAGACTCTGAAAAGGGCTTTCAAACTGTGACATATCCGTCTCTTCAGCGCCGTCGGCGGTAATTTCGGCAGTTGCCGAACTATTTTGGTGGGTTTACACATCGTGAAACACCATGCTAAGGCTGGTGCATCTCAGCCTACTGCGGTGCACCATTTTTGAACCAGAAAACCACCGCTTCTCCTCGATCTAGGCTAGCAAACCTCTGTCTTCAGACCCTCGGCAGGTAAGATCAAGTTTGGTCGCACTTGCTTGGCTGATGGCAAGCAACTCTTATGCTTCCACTTCTGCAAGCTGCTACAGCCGGCGTACCGCCTCTCCGGTGACATCCACCAGAGAGGCGATACGCCGGCTGTACAGCAATCTCTGCGGAGCTGAAGCTCGCACTGCAGCACACTGGGGACTTCTAAATGTTAAACTTTCATGTTCCACTTTAGATAAGTGAGGACACTGCGATGGTTGGGCATCAACCGGCAGCAGGCTCTGGCATATTTTGTCCAACAGGGACTTTCACATTTCACATCGCGCATGCACCTTCCCGTATTGGCGGCGTGGGTCGAGTTTGTGCAGGCGGAAGTTCTTCTCGATTTGGCCAGTATTATTTTTATTTAGTCCTGGACAGTGCATCTCGGCAACGAAAGCTTTTGCGCTTGCATGTGGTATTGGACTGGAAGGCTGACGAAATGAACTCTTTTCTGGCAGTCGGCAAACCGTGCTCCATTTTGTGCTCTCATCGGTCGTTAGCGTGTTAGGGCAAATTTGGATTTACGCAACACCTTTGGAGACATCTGAGCCGAACCCTATTCTCCACCAAATTAGCAGATGCGCGCGGGCTCCCAGAACCGGAGCTCCGCCGCCTTGACTATTTGTCCAAGATTATGTGACACAGCAGATAGAAAAAATAACAAGAATGAAAGGCAATGCACCGTAGCAGCAGTTATGTGGCCATGACTGTTAGTCCCAAGTTTGTACTTTGGATCAACGGCAGTGGTTGAATGCAGAACACCAACGTTCTGCGTTGTGGTTGGTACCCATGCCCATATAGTAGCAGGCCTCCCAGAATGTCGCAGCAAAACAGCGACAAGAAGGCACTGTGCAGGCTGTAGGAATGCTACAAGGGAATCCGAGTGAATAGCTGCGGCGTAGTTGGGGGAGCCACTCCAAGGCTCCATGCTATGTAACTCCACACTCACATCCCTCGCCTGCAGCTATCCTACTCGAGATTTTCTTGATCATAGTCTGTGTTTCGCCGAGTTGTGGAGCCGCGGCGGCAGGCAACAATCAAATATGTGCACCAGGCGCTAAGCTTCTCCGTACAAAATATTCACCCACAAGCTGCGAACACTGAAATTGTCCCGATCAGGCTACAGTCGTAGGATGTCCGCGTTACGGCCAACAAAGGGCACCTAACACAGTAAGACTCTGGCAGTCAGCAGATGATACACGGTACCAACAAGTTCAATGCGTACAGTTTTCCGGTGGGCCTGTCCACTCAGCAGCTCACATAGGACACATGTGTACAAGTACATCAGCAACCTTGCGATATAAAAATATATTCATAGATGCAGTCTAAATCATTTCAAGAATCAGTCCTTAAAACGCGCAACGCCATAAAGGCATGTTGCAGAAATGTTCTGAGGCCACGAAAATTTGAATGTTTTCAGGCCGAACACCATGCCTGTCGACTGCTACGCAGGCTGCAGTCGATGGTTTTCCGCTGGGCCGATGGCTACCCTTTTCGAAGTGCCCGAAGGAACTGATAGCCTTCAAAAGTAATTTGGATGCAGCAAGGAAGCCATGGACTCCCCTACTTTGTTGCATTCTTCGTCTCACCTAAGCAAACAGCCAAACGATTTGCAGAGCACTGCCTACTCCCCATCAGGATCGGAGTTGATCGTGGTCATTTCCAGTAGGGCAAGACTTTGGTTGGTCATATTTTCGTATGAAGGCGGCTGTTCTTCCTGGTAAATATCTGGGAAAATGTGGGATAGATCATACGGGTTCATGACCCTCCTCGTTCCTAGTCCGCCTGAGCTTTCAACTTCAGCAGATTCTTCTTCTTCAGTGTCAGTTGACTCTGTCTCCTCCCCGTCGCTAGTGCCAGTGGAGCTGCTTTCTGGATCCCCGCTTTCAGGCTGATCTGCTGGTTGGTTGCCTTGCGCCCCTCGAGAAGAATAAGAACTGTAAGGATCACCAGATGCAATCCCCATAAAGCTGCTTGTGGTCCGCCCTGACTGGGTATATCTCATGTTCGCATCAAAAGGACGGCTTGTCATAGGGCGCAAGCTATTAAAGCGATTTGTAGCAGCGCCGTCATTGTATTGGGCGGTAGGCACGTTGCCCGTGCCGCCCGGTGTAGTCGACGGCCCCGCTCCAGAAGCATAGGATTGACTTGTCCCCTCTTGGGTAACCTTTAAATTAGATGCTTCGCTATATAGGGGTTGCACTGAGCCGCTGACTCCGGAATAACTTGGGGCCACGCTCCTGGCGTTAGAGGAGGCCACTGTTGTTTGGGAGGGAAACGTTCGGTTCCTTTCCATTGTTTGAGAGCTGGCCAATTGCGATGAAACGCTGGCAGTTGGACTGGCCATTGTTTGCGAGCTGCTCATCTGCGGTTGTACGCCTTGCACTGGAATCCCAGTCATTTGTGGTTGAGCATTTTGCACTGGAGGCCCACCGACAGCATATCGCTGACTTTCGTTAGCTCTCGCTGGATTTGACAGCTGCTGCACGGAATTCCATCGCCTACCGCCCCAATAAGCCTGCGGTACAGAGTAGGCCCCTCTTCCCATGACGCGTCCAGAACTGGCATTGTATGGATTTGCCCTCATATACATTTGCCCAGCGGTAAAACAGGCTGGTAACAAGAACAAAATGCCCAGCAGCGTACTCTTCCTCTGAAGGGGTCGCCCGTGGAAAAGGTTTCTGTACAAAAGCGCAGGCACACGACAGAGAATGCATGCAGATGGTAGTATCAACACTATGCTGAGCATTGTTCTGAGCGTGCCAGCTCTGGGCCTGGTTTTGGGTGCTCTAGGCTTCGATTGCTGCGGCACCCAGCACAACGGGTGAGGCACACCAAGGGGCCTCAAGTCGTCCATTAACTGGTTAGGGAAGCCTGCAGTGAGTTCACGGAACATTTAATAGTGCCCCTGCTTCCTGTTCTGGTGTACGGCTGCGCATCTCAAATTCGATGCAGCTGGGTGCCAGCGGGTCACCGGTCACCAGCGCCAGCCCGAACTTACGCCATTTTATGCGTCGTAGTTGTGTTTGGAATCCAGGAGGCTGTGAAGTCGTAAAAATTAATTTTGGATATTCAAGTATAAAATGTGGCAGCTGGTTTTTGTAGATGGTCTGGATGGTTTGTTGGTGGTCTCAAGTGTGCTCCTGTGGCTACCTGGGGTACCAAGGCCTACTTAGCGGAGTGACCACCGACGTTAGCTGGGCAGAGCTAGCTCCCCCCCTCACAATTGTTTTGAACTGCCTTAATTCTAGTGTTTTAATGACTGTAATTTGCAAGTAGGAAAAGTGAGGAAAGCCGGTTTATTATAGGCCGCCGAAGCTGCTGCCCACACGTCTATCCAGTTCATTTTGGCATCTCTGTCAGCTCTTCGGCAGTTCAGCCTTACAGCACGGAACGGTTTCCCATTACCAAAGTGCACTGATAACACCTCATGTTGAGTTTTTTAGTGCCTCAGAATTTTTTACCACGTCAACTTCCGTGAGTTAATCAAACAGGAACTGCCCACCGCTCAACGCCGTAGCAACTACCAGGCTGAAACATGCAACGTGCTGAACTCCTTCAGCTAAACAAGCCTCTTCGCATTCTTCAGGTCGAAAACTTTCTGCAGGAAGAGGCCTGCTCAGCTGAAAAGTTCAGCACACTTCCATCTTTCATTCGGGTAGTCGCTCAGCTTTTGAACGGTGGGCAGTCACTGTTTGGTTACCTCATGGAGGGTGACAACTCATTCGGCGGCGGTGGTACTTTTAGCGGAAACATTTCACTTCTAATATAATACTTCAATACTTGTCCTCTTCTGCTGTGTGCATGGCCAAAGTAAAGCAAATTGCGTTGAAATACGAAAGGCCTAATAAAATTCATGGGGAAACCAGGTGGGAAACTGCAAGTAGGCTTTTCTAGTGGGTTTTTCAATGCACATCATTGCGAACGCTAGAGCCCTTGTTCCAGACAGACCGATGCAGCTTCCCTAGAGGTAGACTTCACGTCAATCTCTTACAGTACTTGCACATCTAACGCATCTGCGAGCTATACGCAGGCAGTGCTGCTGATTGTACAATCTGTCTTCCTTTCCACCAGAAAAAACAAAAAACACCTGTTTTCAGCTTCCTCATGGCTCACTAGCTCGGGCATTTTGACATGAACCCTAGAAAGCGCGGTCAAGATTGAGTTTAGAGAACAACTTCTTGATAAACGGTTGCCATTATTTGACTTGTGGCATAGTGCATTGTGGATTGAAACCTTTCCGATGACAGGGCTTCTCATGCGCCCTTCTTCGTATGGGTGCGAGTGGCGGGACAAAACTGGAGGCGCTGCTGATCCTTCACGTGACGAAGAACACATGCCGGAGAAATAATTCAACTTTAGACGCTTGACATATTTCCGGTGAGGAATTCGAAGGTGCTGGACGAAAAGAAAGTGTCCGTCCTTGATACATCTCCCGTCTGCAGCAGATCATTTGGAGAATAGCAACCATACTAAGGGCCCTGCGGCACCTGTCCCTACACGGGCATTTGTATCGCGCCTGCACCCTCCCATACTGTTACGTGTTAAGGCTCATATCAACAAATACGCGTTGCACTAAAGAAGTGCACCAATCAATTGTGCACGTTTGGCGGTTTGAATGAGGTTGATGCGGGGCACTAACCGTCTGTCGCTGTTGCAAGTGTTGCTGCTTCTGCTGCTCCCTAGATTCGTTCCTCTTCTCTTCCATGTAGCAACATTTTACTGCCTGCACGAAAAATACACTGCATGCAGAGTTTAACAACGGCTTTGGGAAGCAGCGGCTCCTGAAACCATCTACTATGACTATCAGGTGATTAAGTGTAGACACCTCAAGCTCTTTGTGAAGTCTTTCAATCTCGTCTCTCTTCGACGTGACCTGCAAAGTAGGCGGGAAAACCGAAGCAAATGAAACATCGGCGCCTTTGGCAGTCAATAATTATTGTGATTTTTGTGGCTGGAGCTCTCCCTCTAGCGTGCGGTAGTAATAGGTTACATCTTACTGTGCCTGCACGTGCATTGAGGTTGACGCCTCTTCTGAGGCCTTCGTAGTATGCAGTCATGCAGTATGCACACGCTGAGCATCTGTCAAGGGAAAACCACAAGTAAGTGGATCTTCACCTCTTTGTGCAGCACTTGAAGCTCGGAAATAGCAGCACGGAGCTGTTTGGTTTTCATACGCACATCCTGCGGGAAAGTGAAAATATTGTTGTCCCTTGATTGTAGAGCGAGAGACCGCCACTGGCAGCTGGCAACTGGGCCTACATGAATATTCTCACCGTTTGAAGACTTTGCATCTTGGCGAAAACCTCAGCTCCAGGTTGCTTGTTGAGAGTTGTCTAGCCAGAAGACGACGGATGTAAAGCACATACTTCCTTCCTTTACAACCCTTGTGCACCTGGTTTTGGTGAGTCAGTTGTTCCTGGTGCTACTGTACATTTTCCGTATGCCTTGAGTTTACCTTTAGCTGCACACAGAGTTTTTCCCTCTCCTGAATTTGCAGATCCCTCTCAATAACCTGAACCATCAAAAGCACACAAGAGCTCACAAAATGCGTGGCACAATGTGCAAGCAATCGTATACCCCTAACATAGGTGCCTCATCAGGAGAGAGCTTGGCGTATGGATCCCACGCACCTCCTCAGTTTTTGCGATGAGCCGCTTCTGCAAAGACTGGATTTTTTTCACTAGTTCAACCTTGGCAGGGTCGGTCCCTTCGAGCCGTCTCCATCTGTGCACGTTCATCGGCGTTGCCAGGGCCTCAGTGAGTGCCCTGACCTTCGTCCTTTCTGCGTATTGCACAGTTCAAATATCAACGACCGAATTTTAGAAGTTCTAATGCGGGCATGAAGAAAACATGCATATTCAAGGAGCGTTTGGGACATAGCGCTGCCACCGGCCGAGCGCAGCACCGACAATCTTTTCTCGCAAGAGGTGCACCTTGCAGTAACTCCTTTTGCAGTTGCAGGATTTCTCGCTTTAGTGACTCCACTTCAGCAACACCTCCTTCAAGGTTGCGAAGCTCCCGCCTAAACGCCAGGCACTGCCGGCTCCACTCCTTAATTTCCTTCAGTCGCTCCTGAATAAGTCGAAAACTCCCTATCCCCATTCTAAAGTCAAATGCCCCAAACGTATGGCATTTTCTAAGGGACGAACGCCGTATTCCTCAAAAACAATGAATAGAAGATTAGAAGCGATCTTTGTAGCTCCTCACATGCAGAAAGCAGACTGCACTACTATGATATTCATTCGCAGGACAACGTACCTTGTATTGGGCTTCTCCCTTGGCAAGCGTTGACTCTTGGATTCTCACCTTTTCGTAGAGGAGAGATAGCTCTTGATTTCGCTTGAGTAGCTGAGTCCCCAGCATGTCCCTCTCTGCCAATATCTGCACAAAATACCCCGCTCAGTCAGCAATGTTACACGGCCCAGTAGAGAGAAAAATTCGACTGCATGCGCTCTGGCAGCGTCAGAAACATAAGCAGAGGGACGGCTCGCTAAGTTGGCAACTGTGCTGCACACCGCTGAGAATTCCTTTCCCTGGTTTGCCTTTTCAGCCGTTGCCTCTTGCATTGTTTCTTCGAGCTTCTTGATTTCTCGTCTGCGTACCTCACCACTACGTTTGCAAAATATACGCTTACGAACATGCTCACAAATAATAAGTGCCTTTGACGCTTTCCTGTTGAGTGCTGTCATTTCTAGGGTGGAAGTGTGCAGTTCGGCTGCAAAGAAACGTGCATTAAACTTGCTTTTGTGAAGCAATGATTTGTTCAAGAAAGCCAAGCTTCTTCTCCGCCTTGCCTAGGTCATCCTTCAGTTTTTCATTTTCAGATGTAATCCGCCTGTGCTCGAAATGCTGTTTCAGAAGTCCGGCGTCCTTCGTCTTAATCTCCTCTTTAAGCTGGCCAACTTGCTGAAACATGAGCTTGAACTTACTAGCGCAAAACAGCAAACGCTTAGGGGGAGATGGCTCAGCAGCTAGTCAGCGAGGGTGCAAGGGTAGAGCTTGTGCATATTTGGCTTCACACACATACTAAAATGCCTTCGCAGATGTGGAAATAAAATTTGCGCTCTGTATTGCATTGCGTTGTGAATTCACGAAGGCGTTAATTTGATGCGTTTTATTTAAGAAGGTAAGTTTGTGGTTTACTGCTTCAGTTCAGTCATTTCGTCGAGGCTCGCAATCAGATTCCTTGAAAAAAGGTTCCGGTCAGATCTTACAGCCTCGTACAAGGTCTTTTGTGCAGCAAGCTTTGACTGCTGTTCCCCAATAGACCGCTGCAGATCCGCCACTCTAAGCTCCTCATTTTTGAGCTGTTCGAGGCTCTCCAAGTACCTAGGAAAATTACAAGGCCATGGAAATGTATATAAACCAAAAAATGCCGCGCCGAAATTCTAAACGACTTGTGCAATCGGCACCGGGTTACACAACATTGCACTAGGGACAAAAGCGTGGTGAAAGAATGACTGCGATGTCATGGCGAGGAACAACTTAATAATGCCTTCAGGAATTATTCCAGGGAGATTGATAATGTGAGCTGTGGTAGTGCCACACTTCTGGTTGCTTTTGTTTAGAGTGTGGCCATAGCGATCCCTTTCTGCTTCCAGCGTCTCAACTTTCTGCTGCAGTTGTTGGCATTCCCGCCGGAACCTAGAAGGACAGCAGCAGCAACAAAAATTTACATAGGTGAACCTTCAAGCTAGCGGTTATCGAGAAAGTCGACAAGACCGGCCAACATGTTTACTGGTGGACTGGAGAGAAAAGATTTACTAAAGCAAAATTAGCTCCGTTTCCAGAGAGTATACATACCCATCAACTTCCTTTTCAAGATGCTCGCAGTGAGTTAGTTGTCTCTTGGCGTGGTCAGCATGCTTCTTTGCATTGGCGTCAGCGTTTAAAAGATTCTTAGATAGCAAATCCCTTTAAACACGGCAAAAGCACCAGTAACGCGATAGGCGTGCCAACCGAGTATTAGGGACTGCTCCGAAGTATCCCCAACACCCACATGCAGTCCTGGTATGGTACAGACGGTACGGCAACATCAACTCATGCAGTTTTCGGTGCAAGCCACAAATAATGGCACACAAATTAATAGTGGCCCCATGACCAGTGGATATACTCCATTTTAAATTTTCAAACAGCAGATCACCTCTCGCGCAGCAGTGACTCGATTTGCCGTTTATCATTCTCAGCCTGCATTTACCACCAACACTACGTGCCCTTGCAACTAAAATTAGCTATGAAAATTCATGGTATAACAGTCTGGAGGGAAGCTTTTCGCACAAGAAACATCTAGCCGTCGAGACGGGCAAAATCATTTCCATGAGCAACCCCATTACTGTTTCGAGCGTTTATTCCAGTGAAGGCAGGAACATCTTAAGCAGCAGGCTTTGCACCTGCTGCTTTAGCGCATCCATTTCCCTCTCCGAAGCAGCCGTTTCTAGTTTTAGAGCTTCAAGTTCCAAGCACAAGAGACGGAAGGTGATCGCAAACAGGCATTGTGGTTGAATGCAGTTGAACGTTTTAAAAAGCACGCGGGTGCTAGTAACTGGGTTTTAATTGCGGCGGCTAGGCAGCGTCCGCGAAAACTCTGCAGGATAGTAGATTATCATGACGTACCCGTTGCTTGTTCATCCAAGGTGCGTTTATCGCTTTCGAGGATCTGCATTTTTTTCTTTAACAGTTCATGCAGCTTGACAACGCGCTCCTGCAAATGAGGCTCTACACACCAGGCAACGAAGAGTTTCAGAGGGTTCAGAAAGTGGTAGGAACACACTCTGGACCAGAAAAAAAAGGGCCACTTGCGTCTGCCTCAGCACGTCTGATAGCGCTATGTTTGCGCGCATCAAGTCGTCTGTAGCTCACTTTCTCCGTTCGCATTTTCTCGATCTCTTCTTGCTTTGACTTAAGCTCAGCTTCTCTTTCCCTACATCGGAGGAAGCTATACAGAAAGTGGGAGAATATGCTTTGCAGCATAGCACAGTCGGGCCCTTTCGTGCACGCGTGGCACTCTTTGCGAGTGAGACTCCACGATTTATGTTCGTTGCAGCAGACGTGTAATGGTAGAACATTGGCGCACAAGTGAAGCAGGCAATGCTTACTCGTTTGCAGCCTTTAGACGGCTGTTTTTGTAGATCTGGTCGTTCAAACGAAGCTCCGTTTGCTGCAGACCCTCAACGTCGCGTCTGGATACTAATGTAGAAATCAAACATGGCTGTCACGAGTGCGGCATACATGCAAAACACATGATATCACAATGCCAAGGGAGGAGACTGCTTACAGCTATGCGCCTCTGGATTTCTTGCGATTCCTGTACCTCCTGCTGGACCTGTTGCTGCGTCATGGCCAGTTGCTGCTGAAGCGCAGCTATCTGAACAGATAACAATGACTCATTCAGCATGACTGACGAGTGTCCAGCTGGACAAGGAACACTAAGAAGCTTTTCGACAAAGTCTAGGGAGATTTAGTTTTGGCGTATGGCTTATGCTGACTTGTTCCTCTGACTGAGCCAGATCTGCCTGCTTCTTGGCGAGTTCTTGTTGCTGCTGCTCGAAGTGTGCTCTGCAGGGCGCCGCCCGGCAATGCACATGTTTTTGGGAAATGCAACTGTTTCTAAGAAAGGGGAAACCGACTGAGTCCCTTCCTTACTCTATTTTGCGGAACTCAGCGATTTGGATGCTCATAGGTGCAACGCAAGCGAAACATGTGCCAAATTTTCTACAAGAATTCATGGTATGTGTGGGCAGTTTCACTTGTTTTGCTTTAGTTGTCTTTCTAGCCTCTCCCTTTTCTTTGCCTCTTCATCAGCAGCAGCGCGTCGATCCTGCAGCTGCTCTTGAGTAGTGTAAAGCTCCTGCAGACCTGTGAAGACATAACACCCACATGAGAAAACTAGCCCCAGAGGCAATGGTTCGAATATCCACCTAGCGAAGTAGCAGTGTAGCACAAGGGGGAAGTCAGTGCCACACAACTGTTAGCAAGTGCCATAGCTACATAACTGCCAAGCAGCCTGCAGCAACTGATTCTGTGGTCACGCCGATCCCGTTGGCTCAAACTTTCACCTTTTCTGTTGGTTAACTGGAAGAAGCAGGAACAGAGCTCGGCCCCTGCTGAGACTTGCCTTTGGCTAGCTTGGTTTCGAGATCTTTGATGGTCTTCATCGCGTCGACATTATCTCTTGTGAGGGAATCACTGGTGGACGTGAGCCTATCCGTCACTGCATAATGAATGAGAAAGACGGTGCCAGCGGAAACGATCTATCAACATGCAGGCCGTTCCCCCGCGTAATTTTATCTGCTCGCTTTTGCTGTGGAAAGTGTTTGAGCAACATTGCGTAAACGATATCTCTTGTGAGGGAATCACTGGTGGACGTAGGCCTATCTGTCACTGCGTAATGAATGAGAAAGACGGTGCAAGCCGACGCAGTCTAACAACAAGCAGACCGTTCCCCGTGTAATGCGCCCTGCTCGTGGAGAGAATGTAAGCAGCATAAGCCACTTTTTGTTCAAAACGCAGGAAAGTGTGATGCTCTTCACAACTGTTTACTTGATTGTAGTTTGTCTCTCTCTTGCAGCAGTTCGTTCAACCGGGCATTTTGCTGTAAAGAACGTTGTTCTTCTTCGTCTATTCTCCTGAAAACATCACACATTTATTTCTCCAATGAAGTGAGAAGGGTGATGCAGCGTAGCACAGGTAGTCCCATCAAAACACACTTGTAAAGTTCTTCAATCTGGGCACGAAGTTGATTTGCTGCCTTTGTTTCCGCGGCCTCCCGGGCCTTCCCGTTAGCAACTTCTATCAATGAAGCACTTAAGTCCTGAAGTAACACCAATTACAGTGGAAGCAGAACACGTTGTTGCCAACGTGTTTCTAGTCCAAGGTAAAAAGTGCAGGAACGGCGAAGCTGCTTAAACGGTGCACCTTAGCTGTTTAACTAACTCGCTTCAGCCTCTTGATTGTTTCCTCTTCTCCGCTGGCTTCTTTAAGTGCTGCATGCACCTGCAGCGCGTTAGCTTGCAGAGCACTGCTCAGATCCATACATCTAAATCAGCATAGAAAAAGAACACTAGGAGCGTTACTTGGCGAGAGTTTTGCGGCCAGGTTGGACGCGACAGAGCCATCATGCCACAAATCCTGTTAGTTCTGCAGTTTTGGCGGGACTTGCTGCTGCGGCGCACTTTGCTTTGAGCTCCATTTCATTTTTTTGAGAGGCCTTAAGGGCCTGATGAAGCTTTTCATATTCACGCCGTAAAAATTCTAACTCTGGATAGGACGCCAGTTCCTGTTATACATATTGTAAAGCTTCGAAACAAGTGTAGATGAAGGTTGCCCTAAATATGCGACAGTAGGTCTCAGTTCGCACAATAGCGATATTTAGCTGCCCTTCTGCTAGGCAGAGCTATCGTGTGAAGCTACTTGTTCGTGTTGCTGCTTGTGCTGCCCGTCACCTTCAACACATCCTCGCGTTCACTCTCTTGGGCTCTCATAGTGAGCTCAGCTATGTACGAATCATCCGTATTTAAATTTGCCACATTAACGACAGGTGCTGTAGCTCTTGCCGTCGAAGGCCTTATCGCAGAATCCGCAGCGTCTGGAGTCTCCGTTGAACCCTCACCCTCGGAGCCGCGGGTTCGATGGGCTAAACACTGTTGCCCATCAGGCAAAGCATCAGAGAGAGGTACGACGCAGGTACCAAGGTCGCCCTTTTCGCCGCCTGCATCTGGGGCCGAGCAGACAATTACTTTCCCTCCACTGTCGGCGTCGTCATCCATAGACCGAAGCAACTCCATGGCTCGCCTCTGCTCTACATCCCCTAAATCCTGTTCCTGCTGTTGAATCTGTTCGGATTTCTGGTTAATAACTTGGGAATCGTCTGGAGCTGCGGCTGCACCTGACTGTGGTTGCTGTGACTGTGGCAAATGGTCCAAAAGACGACGCAGACGGTCGGAGGTTTGTGTTTCACCGATAACATCCCCAGGAGTAGCGCTGTGTCCTGAACCGTTTGGTTCATGTGATTGTGCATTATCTGGTGGATTGCCTGGTCTACTTTGCGTCGGTGTTTGGTCAAGGGCAAAACTGGCGCTCCTTTTTCGGTCCATTGTCGAGAAGGGCCGTTGATGCCTCCCGTAATTCTAGTAATCACTCCGCTGGAGGTCCTCGACCTAGATAAACCGCAATGTATCACTCTGTAGACGGTCTGGACCGCCACGCTCAGATGAAGTTGTGACAGCTCTGCCTCTTTGAAGGCCTTCTCCCTGCGTGGTGAAACTAGGTTACATGAGGGCCTCAGTAGCTAAGATCTCTCCTTGACGGATCCCATCAATAAAATTCCTCATTTAAGGGGGGAAATATCTATATTTTTATGGGTACTAGAAACTGCGGCTGCTGGCGTTGTGGGGAAACAGCAGCACAGTTACTCGTGTTGATGGATGCCAGCGGAGTTGCAAATGCAGCAGGAACGAACATTGAGGAGTTTCGTCTGGGTGAAACCCGACAGTCCCGCCTACTAAATAGTGTATATTTCGCCGTATTGTCCTTTAGCGGTGCCAAGTGCAATTGGTTTAATGCTCGTTGTCATCGGATCGGGGCTGGCTCCCACCGACGTTCTTGGTTTGCTTGGTCCGCTTTTTGTTGCTCCCGTGTTAATGCCTGCTTTTACCTAATAATCCAACTTAACAGATCATTTATTTCAGTGAAAAATTTTTGAAAATTTCCGCTGTTTGCCTGCAGAACGGGCGGAGCCTCAGGCTGCGAGCAGCTGAAGCCTACAGGGTCACTCTCCGTGACACTAGCTCACAAACCGTACGCAGAGTGGTCGTTTCACAAAGGAAAATACTTGCGCTAGTACGTCTTTCTTTCACCATAGGAACGTCAAAGTAAACCGCTTTCAAGGTAATTTTTTGCATACATTTCGCAGAAAGCGCTTCGGGGAACAAAGGCTATGGTTGAAAGCCAATGGGCTAACAATTCTCATTGTTTAAGCGATTTCGGAGAAGAAACAGCACTGGAATCTCTTCAGACTCTATCCTAAGCTCCTCCGGACTTCACGCCACCAGCGCTACACTTGGACGCAGGCACCAGCTTGGCTTGGGGATGCAAAATCATAGCTAGGGTCAGGAAAGCAGGAGCTGTCACTATTTGATTTAGAGACAAACGTAAACATAGCATAGTCTGGCTGAAAGGCAGTAGGCGGCAGCAATGCGCTAGCAGTTCATGGCAAGCCGCCTGTGCCAGTTTCGGCCTTCTCAGGAGGCACTGCTCCTCGATAGCAGGCGCAAAACGGGCAGGAAACAAAGATGCAATGCGAAGCTCCATTCAGGGGGAAAACGTCCATTTTCTTGAAGACGCTTTTGAACTATCCTGTATGCAGCAGCGACAGTGCTCCAGGGACTTGGAAACAGCACAGGAGGAGAGCTACCTTTGTGGAAGCATGCGAACAAAGTGTTTCACACCACTCCATCGGAGAAGTCCCACTGCCATTTGCCTCCCACTAGAGAGTATTCGCGCACAGTGAAACAGCTTGACTCACTGTATTGGGGTGCCTACACAGTTTTGGACTGGCTGATGTATATGAGGCCCAAAGAAATTTTCAGACGAGAAAGCAACGACGATGTACAGCCCTAAAAGAAGTACTCGTGCGCACTTCAGAAAAAAAATTTCACAATGTACTTCGCAGCCATCCCTCCTGAAAGGCGTTGATGGGGCTGCACAATATGGCAGCTTCATTTGCGCAGCGTAATATGACTACAGAAACTTATTCACGTTAATGCACTGTTGGTCGTGAGCCTTCTGCTAGAGTTTGGCATCACCAGACTCCGCATTTAACTATTGGGTAATGCAAAATTTTCCCCATGACGGGGAACAATGCGTAGGAGCCGCTGCTCGTTCTATTAGCTGTGGGGGCTCCAGGGGTATTGAACGCTTAACAGAAAGCATTTGCTTCCAATGCCGGGAGTGAAGTTAGTAAGCAAACAACAAAACCAATATAGCCACTAAAACTGGACTCTAGCAAATCTGTAGAGTCTGTCGTTAGGTTGCATGGGCTTTCGCCCATGCATCCCACTCCATTCCACATTCCTCCAGAGACGGGTTTATTGCAATCTTCAGGAAGTACCTGCTTATTCAAATCAGGCAAAGTGAGCCTGCTTGCAAATGAGCTCTGTTTTTTACAGCTGATGAGTTATGTGGGTGAATACGCATGCGAGTTGGTGCGGCTTGTGCGCCCCTCATGCAGCAAGGTGTGGTGAATAAGCTTCTGCAGGGGCAAAAGAAGATTTCTGCCATTGAGCATCTGGGTGAAATTGCCGTCGTCAATAATATCACTTAAAATGTCTGTTTATGTGCGAACGGTTGGTTCGTGCCGTTTCAAGACTACCGCAAAGTTGCGCCTGGCGAAGTCTTTCATGCATTCGAAAGGAACCAAGTACCTATGAAGCTTTGTCTGCTGTGGATATGACCTAATCAGGATCAGGAGAAATCAGCCCCTATCCAGATGCCCCCTCCAGCCTCAGATCGGAAATGCGTAGTGCGAATATTTGGTGCCAGTAGCTTTTACATTCGTTCCATAAGACATTTCGTTTGGGAAGCTTAAACGACGAGTTCGGCGGGGAGGTGCCCTGTCTGAGTGGGCAGAGAAGTAACGGAATGGCTTCTTTACAGTCGCCACTTCTTGCACAGGAGACTTTCCGGAGGACATTAGCCAGTGCCCGTATTTATCGTTGAGCGCAACGTCGCTGCCCAACGTTTGGGGGGTCTGCTTCAGCAGGGGGACGAATGTTGCAGTGCGGGACATAACTGTTTTGGTAGCCTTGGTTTGCTCACAAATGGGGGTTAATGGGAAACAAAACCGTTAGGGGAGCCTAAAATTGTCCTGCTGGTTGGTATACTCCACTATGACATCACGGAGTTGGTTAACGCGTGCGAACAGACCGTAGTTCTCTGCTCTCGCAAACCAAGCAAGATTTTCCTGCTTAAAACGTTGGATCCTGTATCTCCAGGTTTTTGGAGAACAGCTGAAACACGCTGCATGCTGGACGAATGCGTTTGCGGATCCGTTTCAGCGTAGCCGCACAGGCAAATGAGACCGACCCGCTCCTGACGCCGACCCCCTCAAACCTGCGCTGCTTTCCTCCGTGAGATATGCCAAGAAATGCCTAGAATGCAGGGGACCTGTACCTTCAACCTTAACAAGGAAAAAGGAACCAAAGCTCGACGCGGGAAACGATTTTTGACATTGGGCTTGTTGACGGCACTATCCAGGCAGCTCACGCAACCCTGATCGCTGCGGAAGTAACTCGTAGTGAAATCGCCTGCGAAGGGGCTAAGCTGTGCGGTTGAACTAAGCACCATACAATGATGTGACGGCAGTTTGAAGATAGACACAGTTCGCCTCAACTTAGCTGTTGAACGCTTGGTTAAAGGTTTGGAATGAAAAAACAGCAAAGGCTAACCACCAGTGGCATTAGGAGCGCCCTCCCAGGAAGCTTGCGTGAAAGCAACTGACGCCCTCTTAGGGAGGTGTCCTCAAGAGAGTCGGAAAACGCTGACGGTCTGGCTCTCACAATACTGAACCTACCTTCCGTATACACCAACAGGAGTGGCAGTGACTGCTGACACACATATTTGTTCAGTTTTGTGCGTGTTCTCTGAAGAAGTATCTGCCCCTTCCTCGTCTCTGCTGCCAACAAGGTAGACCAATCCTCAAAGGAAGATGCGCTTTCTCTTCTTTTCTGAACTCGCCCATTGTATAATTGTACCAGTGCGCGCCATGTAACGCGCTCTATTTCAAGTTGGTGCAATTATTCCGCCTTGCTCGCGGGCGTGGTACTGAGTGCCAGGTAAGTCTCTAACAATTGTCTACAGTGTTAGTGCATCAAAAGGGGCTTGGCTATGCTTGCATGTGCGGATGCCTTGCAGCTGGTATTGCTGCAAGGAGAGACCCAGCCTACCACAACCCTCCTCTCCGCAACAGCTCCAGGTTGTGCCGTTGCTCCCAGGGCGCATGGAGGCGATGGGGCCACGGGTAAGTTCGAGGAGGTTCAGTTCGACTCCGCAGTGGTGCCTTGCGGTTACTAGTGTAGCGAAGTTTCGCCCTGTCGGGCAGCACATATGAATGAATCGACTAAAGGCCTAACGAAGACTTCTCTGCTTGGCAGTAGCAACCCCAATATAGGGTAAATGCTTGCAACACCGCGCCACCTGAATGGTCAAGCGAAGAGTCCCCGCAGTTCCACAACGCATCGCGCTCCTCTGCTCTGGTAAGTTATCGGAGCTTTCTAATTAAAGAGCAGGAATTGTGGCACTTGAAAATTCCTTCTTAGGACCTGCTTGGGCCCAAGCGTTAAGCCAACACATGGGAGCGTTCACATCCGTACGCCGTCCAACCCACCACTGGCAACGCTACGTTTCCCACTCAAGAAGGGAGTAGGAGACCACCAGAGGTGTGTTTTGACGCATTTTCTGCAAGAATCTTTCTATCAAGCAGATTTTGCGATGCAGGAGACGTACCAGCAACACGCTGCACCCGGTGGACGGCTTCACTGGTGACCCTAAAGCAGCAGTGCTTCACTAGCACGCTTGCTAGACGGAATCTACCCACTCACCATACACTTTATTCATGAACTAATATGTATTGAGCCATGAATATAAGGGATTGTCAGGACCAACAAACCTACGCTAATCCTTTGAACCCCCCTGGTATGTGTGGCCCACTCTTCCTCTGCGGGGCTGGAGTGGCCCAGGGGAGTATTGTGTTGTTCACGGGTAGTACCCCCCATCTGCCAAAGACTTCAAGCTTATATTTGTCTGGAACTCCACACGGGAAAACGAGTGGTTTGTAGCTAAGTACATTGCTTCGAACGGCGGCGAGAGGCTCGTCCATGTCAACCTCTCTCCGATATACGCCGGAAGCTGTAGCCTGCTAGCATTGAAGTTAGGTGCGTGGCACTCCCTTCCCATTAACTTTAATAGTACAGATTATAACTCCAAAAATAGCTATCCGCGTAGGAGTATCTTCACAATTGCCATGTAGCACCACGCTCCCTCGTGGAGCCACAGAGCGGACGCCTTCGCGAAGTTATGCATCATCTATTCTGTGCAGATGCTCTTGAGTCCGGCTTACATGCTCACTTTGGGTTCTACGTGCAGTATAATGAGCAGACAGCATTACTCCTCCGAGCGCCTCTATGTAGGCAACCTGCCCTATGACGTCACAGAGCGCGAAGTAGACGACCTTTTCTACAAGGTAAGCGGCAAACACTGTGCTTCAGCAGAAGTGCACTGATCGAAAGCTCTACTGCAGCTGAATGCTGATGCGTTTCGCGAGGGCGTTGTGCAGTTCGGGCGAATTCGTGACATCGAAGTTAAAAGGAGCCGGAAGAATGATACATCCTTTGCCTTCGTCGTTTTCGATGACAAGTAGTGAGTGGGAGTAGACCATGGCTGTAAATCCTTATTTTACCCAGCTTCATAGAGGGCCTACTCCTCGATCTTCTTTGGGGCTGCGGTTAACTCCAAACTGTCTCTGCGTGTGCGTTTGTGTCATATTCAGCTCAGTGGATGACGCAATCGAGCGGCGAGATGGGATGCGCTACGGGGATATGTGCCTTCGAGTTGAACGCGGTGGGGAGCGACGTGGCGGTCGTGGAGGCGGAGATGGCGGATCGTACGGACCTCCAAGACGGTGTGTCGAATCCCCAGCTGTGAAACCCCAGCCTTAACTGCGTCTGAGCGTAGCAACACTCGTGGCGTCTGCTCAAGGGACAGCTGAGTTTAGATTTCGAGTGAAACAGCAGACAACGTGGCTTTACCACAACATGTGTAAGGCCGTTACTGGCTGCGTGTTGTACGTGCAGTAGCAGTGCAGTTGTTCCGACGTTCGTGTGTTTGGCTCGTCCTTCAAGGGTTTCTTGGCGCGCACCTATTCTGCAGCCCTTACTGTGTGCATTCATTGCCTGCAGGTCGGCATTCCGAGTTCGCGTTCATGGCCTTCCTCCAACTGCAAGCTGGCAGGACTTGAAGGATCATATGCGAAAGGCTGGAGATGTTGGCTTTGCAAGCGTGGAGAACAGGGTAAGACTGAGGAGCAGGAGCTGCACATTTCCGTGCATTTTCAAGTTTTCCGTCTGTGTGGCTGGCAGTGGAACACTGCTCGGCTTCTCAAGCAAAAGGTTGCCTGGGACGCACCGCGCGAGTTTTGCGACTTTGGCGTATCTTGCTGAGTACGAAAGCGAGTATCAGGACTGGAGCTCATTGTGTTGGAGACTTTTGGTGTTGAGCTTTTTGTTGATCAACGAAAACATGCCGCACGCGGTTGGGAAACAGTTGTGTTAGAGGAACGCTGCAGGTACATCCGATCTGTGGGGGGTGTAGGGTTCAGGGAGAGGTATTTGAAGTTGTTCTGGATTCGCGATGCTGTTGAGAAGCTTGACCCAGCTGGCTCTGGGGAGTTAATTTGCAAGGGTCTGTATGTGACCCCAGCGCCGGGGACGTGGGCCGTGGGAGCTCCTGTTCTTGGTTCTCATCTGGATTTTCATTTTTTCAGAGGGATTGGTCTGGCACTATATTGACATTTTCTCGGGAACGGAGCCTTTATCCTGAAGTGGACTATGCAGCACTGGGGCAGCATGAGTTTTGTTAATCGTTGCATGCTGCCTTCGGGGTACGCCAACTGCGGCGTGGCAACATGAGTTTTGTTAATAATGCATGACAACGTTGGAGTATTCCAGAACCGGTGCTGTCAGGAGTATCTTTTAAACGCCTCCTCCCACACTGTGACAATTTACTGAATCAATAACCATTCTGTCATGCGCTGCTCAGGTAGGTATTGTGGAGTATCCTACTAGGGAGGAAATGGAGTACGCGATCAAGCGCTTGGACCGGAGCGAATTCTGCAACATTTTCCACCGTGCACAGATCCGCGTAGAGCGCGACTACGTGAGACATTGGCCGTGATAGCAGTTTGCTGAGCACTCTATTTGGGGCGCCCTGCCCGATGTAGATGAAAACGAGTTGTGCGTGCATCCTTGAATGAAGATACGTTTGTTGCACTTGTTTGCTTGTTTCAGGGGTCCGCTGGGGAAGAGGAGTACGAGCGTGGTGGTCGGTGAGCGCTCACCAAATGGCATTCACCCTTTTCAAGTGTTTGTCTCATCCGGCGTACGCTGTTTTGCGGTGCAATTTGCGGTCAGATTCTATTCGACGTCAGAGCTCTCCGCGTCCAACGTATATGCGTGCTTGAACTGCGTAGGAGGAGTAGGAGTTACTCCGAGAGGAGGAACCGATCGCGGTCTCCAAGACGCGAGGCATCGCATGCAGACCATGAATCATCGTCGAGACGCCAACGGGATTGTCCAGGCTCTCGAGAAGCTTCTCGCGTGAATGCTCATTCCGACGTAGAGCAGTGTCCGTCAGTGCGTAGCGACAAGGTAGGCACAGCGGATTCGAGGGACACTCATGAATCTCACACACGCCCAAATTCACGTTCGGGTTCCAATTCACCGCGTGGCTCATGTGCCACCGAGATACAGGGACAGGGAGATTCTCCAGGCGGTGAACAGAAAAGGACCAGTGAGCACGCCGGGAGGTTGAGGTCCTCTTCAGGTAGCCCACCCTCCAGACGTACAGATGAATCGCATCCTGTATCGGCCATCGAGGCATAATTTTGTTGGAAGGGCTTCAGACAGTTCCAAAGAGTGACGTATTGTCGCCTTCATTTTATTCCAAATGCCAAAACCAGGGTTTCAACTGCTGCCATCCTTGTACGCACCGCTGAATATTTTGTGTGCCCTTTATTGCTTTGCAAGCCCAGCTTGCAGACATTGGTGGGAGTTGGAACAGAGCGAATTCCTGCTTCGAAGAGCTGCTGAGCGTGCACTCACTTTCTGCCACGTGGTGGCCAGATGGGGGTTGGTGGCACGGCCAGCGGCATGGTGAGCTGGCTAGTTCCTGACGACGAAAACTGTCGCGTTTGTAAATGATGCTGGACATTTTTGTTGCCTCTGAAAGTTGGAACTGTGCGCCCGGATACTGCACCGATTCAGACTTTGCTGCAATGGGTATGGGTGCGCGCACGGCATGGGGCATCAGCTCCCGCTGTGGAGAAGGGCACGAGTGCGATAGGACCTGCAGTCTGATAGCTTATTTAAGCTGCTACTCAATTTATCCGCAACCCCACTGCTGAGCAGGTCGGGTTTTTCTAGCAGTCATTTAATTCGTGTGAAATCTGCATTCCAGCCTGCAAAGAGACGGCTCCGCGGCCTACACAGGCGTGCGCTTTTGGACTTAGCAACGGGGTTGTTGTTATGACAAGACGAGTTCGAATGCCCAAGGTGGCTGCCCGCCACGGGCTGCGATGAAGTAGGACGAACTAATAAATGGCGAGTGGCAGGTTCTACAGAGACCATCAAATAAGCCCTTCGAGCGCCTCAGATTTCTGAGGTGCATTTTGAATCGTCTCCTCTCACTTCGTACATAAGGGAATCGCAGGCGGATATTAGAGTTGAGGAGTACGCTGCCAGCTAACCTAAAGGTCACGCCTTAAACCGCCGGCAAGAACTGATTCTCAGGAGTTTTCCACGCCTCGTACGGGGTGCTCCGGCACCGACGTTTGCTCTTGAGCATACGGTGGACTCAGCACCAGGTGTTGCTGCTTTTCCTCTACGCCTGCAGTATTTTGTCTCTGGGTCTCCTTTGCAGCATAGCTTTACCCAGAAACTTTCAGCTTTCCGTTGACCAATATTGCCAGAGGGAGCGGAAGAACCACATGCTTGGGCTGAGGGGAGTTCAGCTGAATTCCTGGGTTGCTGGCGCTGCGTAGTTGAGATGCACCTCCCTTCATCTGATCTACGTCGTGAAGGGGTTGTGGATGCGTGCGAGCATGCAACTTTGCTGCAAGGCTGCATGATACGAGCATCAGGAGTAACGCCCTGTTGATTGGCTTGAGCATGTTGATTACATGCCATTTCTGAATATACGTACCCCTTGGCTTGTGGATCCACACTATTCAGTGGAGAAACCTTTTCGAAAGAAATGACATTTTTGGTCGCACTGCCGTTCTGACTTGACTCTTTTGTTGGGGGTCTGGCATGGTCCGCGGAGGTGGGCCTGCCGTCGGGTGTCAAAGCATCTAGCAGAAAAAGTAGTTCTCGGTCGCCAGCTGAAGCGCTCCTGTCGGGTGGGGGTTCAGCTGGTTTAAGTGGGATATCTGGAATAAGGAACTGCTTATCATCTAGCTGTGCCTCCCCCAAGTTGTCTGCTTCTACTGTAGCTGGAGACTTCCATGGCAAGTCTGCGCACGCCTCAACCACACTAACCGCAGCTCCATCCTTGCCTCTAGAACTGTTAGTTACATATTGGAGATCATGAAATTTCGCCGCGGAAGCTAAGAGCCCTTCAGGTGACTCTCCTTTCTTCTGAGTATGTTCAAACTCGGTCGTCACAGCCGGTATTGCCTCCTCCTCAGACGTGAATAACTCCGTTTCCGTCACAGTTTTAACTTCTCCGTCCTGGCCGTACCCGCAACGCAGCTTCACCCTATTACTGCTTCTAAGCAACCCTATTTTTTTTTTGTGAGCAAAGGTATGCCCATCAGAATTCAAAACAATGCCAAATGCGAGCAGCTTGGGTTCAATACTCAATTCAAATCTAAACAAACGGGGAACCCACAGAGGCCGCGATAAGAGCAACTAAACGCGCCTAAATTGTAGGGCAATATTGACGCATTTGGCAAACGCATATGTGATTAGACTTCCAAGCGGGTAGTACGCAGGTAACCGGAAGTCCAGTGAGATCACCGCGTAACAATGCATCCAGCTTACTTGCCCGCGCATGTTTGTTGCTTCTAGGCATGGAAAGGCAGGTGGCAGGTCACAAAGTGCACCATTAAATTCCTCATGGACTTGTTTGAAGTGGTGAAGAACTTCATACCTAGTGGTAGCGCATTACAGCGCAGAGCACTCAGTGATGGCTGGGTCAACCGTATCATCCACTCAGAAAATACCCGCAGCAAAAGTGTTTCCTGCGCCTTGTTTCTAGGGAGCCCAACCTGCTAGCCAGTAACTCTGAATACTTGTACACAAAGGGCATGCGAATTATCTCAGCAGTGCTGGGACGTAAATCCGGGTCTTTTTGCAGCATGCGATTAATCAGGTGCAGAAGATCTACAGCGTAAATATGAGGTGGAACATCCAAGCAAGTCGGTGGAGGAGCGTTAGTAACCTCCATTGCGAGTTGTATTACGTTATTCCCTGCATTAATGCGTAAATGCAGAAGTGTCAACTTGTTTGCGCGCCTTGAAATTGCGCGTTTGACGTGTTTTCAGGCTGAAGACAAACCTTGGCATCCAAATAGTTGCTCAATGCGAGCCAACAGTAGCAGTGGCTAGAAAAATATGGGCATACCAGTGTACGGGTGTTTGAGGCAGCAGAGCTCGTGAAGGACGCATCCAAGCGACCATATATCAGCCTTGTACGTATAGCCCTGGCTGGAATGGATTTCAGGAGCCATGTAGAGGGGCGATCCCACGTAAGACTTGCGAACTTTTGTACGCTTGAAGCTTTTGGCAACCCCGAAATCGCCCAGCTTCACGAGGCCATTGCTAAACAGAAGAATATTGTGAGTCTTAATGTCTCGATGCATGATGCTGTTCTTGTGTAGATGATGCAACCCGAATAGGCATTGCACAAATACAAGCATGATATGCTGTTCCTGGAAGAATGGACCTTCACAACGGGTGATTTTTTCGGGAAGAGCACGGCATACTGCCCGCTTGGCGCCATTTTGCTCATCAAGCAAAGCCATTCTGCACAGAACCTGGGTTGCAAGATCTCCGCTGTCTGCATATTCAATGATTAGAGACAGCTTTTCTCCTTCCGGGTCCAGGTGCGCTTCGAAGTAGTCAATAACGTTAGGGTAAGGTTCTAAGTTCTGCAAAATAAGCGTTTCATTCCACGCTTCCTGTTTTTCTTGAGGAGTTAGCAGTCCAAGATTGACTTCTTTGATCACGCACATTTGGCCTGAATAGAAGAAGCAGTCATCTCTGTATCATGAAAAACGCGGGCCACACAGATACGCAGGGGATACGAGAAACAGGTTCGTAGAGGCCCCGAATGCCCACTGTTTACAATGAGTGCCGACCCTGTTCCATTTGTGATCTCCCGGGAAGTCGCCAATGTCATCAATGGTAGCACTTGAGGTGGCGGCACAGTACTGCAGCACTGCTCAGTAGTGCGGGATTACGTGGCACAAGTCTGGGAGGCTATGTACGCACACGTATTGGTGTCCTGAGCAAGATAACATTCTCCCTGAGCTCCAGATCCAATCTTCTTCAACTTCTTGTAATGCTCCATGCTCCTAAAGAGGGCATACACCTTTTAGGAAACAGGGGCAACGTTTCGCCTTGCCTACGGTCCTCTGACGAGATGAAACTTGCCCCCGTAGCAGCCGTCTGGCCTAGCATGCCTAGATTTCTTCGCTATAGAATGTGATAGGGGAAAGCAAAGACCCGAGAAAAGCAGCATAGCAGCTGGAAACAAGCAGTACAGAAAGACCGACTTTCAACTGTCCACATACCTCCAAGAAAGGACGTTAAAACAAGTTCCTATGCTTTGGGCTGTCCTATCCCCTGGCATGAATAATCATGTTTCCTGCGAAGGAACGCGTCTTATGTTCCATTTGCATGGTAGCATAAGTCAATATCCCTGGACCGCCGCACAGCCTATGCCACTCCGTTAACAAGCGAAATTCCTCCATACAAGGACAGTTCGTTTTATTAAGTGCATACCACACTACGCTCTACCCTAGGCAGCGCCTATGCTGCTGCTTTTTCCGTTCGGGTAAACTCTGCAAGTCGGTCACCTGCATATTTGACGTGGTAGTTGACCCCCAGGATGGGCTTTTCTCACAAATTAGACCTGCATATAATTTTGTAGCGAGTTTTTTTGGAAGTTTGCTAGGCTGACTTTTCATGAAGAGCTCTTTATGGCTCCCCTGGGGCCAACCAGCCATAGGCATGAATGCAGCGTTACGAAGGGAACATTGCAACTCAATACCCAAAACATGACACATAAACAAGGATGTATCCACTGAAATGTAGAAAAATGGGCTTCGAAAGCTTTCAATTATCTGCGGTCATGACTGCAACTCCAACTTGGCACCGACGGCGACGACGGAGCATCGAACGTTCGCTCGTTGTGAAGTCTTGCAGCTTACGTTTTTTCGTCCTGAAGTCTTCTCGCTCTTTATTGTGGGTGGTATTTTCCCCCAAGGTCTCCTGATGTGCCGTGATCTGCGGTTATATATCCTTTCCTCTGCCCATAAGGCTCGAAGACCAGGTGACTCTGTTCACGATGCCCACAGTTGCAGCGACTTCGCTTCACTGTGCAGGGGCTTCATCGGCCTCTGGCTAACTTCACACTTGACTCAACAGGCTATTGACGTACAGGTCCCAAAAATTACACCTCTTGCTATCAGTTACCTTGCCTTGGGATGGGATTGAGGAGCCGCACCCACGTACAGGCGATATTTGGAAGTGCATTTTACACTTTACTCCTCATGTATAACGAGGTAGGCAATACTTTTACCTCATAACCATGCTGTTTACCTAGGGCACTGTGCCGGGGGAAATGTGGACTTTGAGGAAGGCTACACACGAAGTAGAGAAATGTTTTGTCCGGCACAAATGCACTGGATGCCTTTAGAAGCGTCCCTCGCTGCGTTAACTAGCCTGATATGAAAACCAGGTTTAAGTTTCCGCCTCATGCGGCCTGTAGTACAAAGCGTAAACGGGAGACTAACCCTACGTAGAAAAAGTACCTTCGGTTACTGGCTATATGTGCCTTGCCACAGCTATCCTGCCATAGCATTGCTGCAACGTTTGCCTGGGTTATGGGCGGATAGACCAATTGAGGAACGTGGGATCTCTCGTCATTGCCAAAGAAGTGATGCTGACCATAGAACCTTCATGCAATCCTAAAGAGGGTAGCCCACACAATACCGCAAGCATTCTGTTTATCAGCAATTGCGAATGACTACATAGCCATAGCCCTTCACGTACATTGTTTTCTCTGGAAGAAACCTTGCACGCTGAAACTTCCGGCCCTGTACTAGTTCTCAGTATGTTTCCATGACACAGCTCTGATATAGGACGAGGCGTGGGGATCAGCATCCCTTCCAGCTGAAATCTACAGCTTTTGTCTCCACGGAATCGGGATGCCAATTGTATATTCAGTGGCTTCACCCGTGCAAGACGCGCGGCGAGGAGCGGGATCGGTACTAAATGAGGGGCCAAGCGTTGCGATACACGCTGCTTCCAGCGCTACAAGCACTTGGTATTTCAGCGTCTACGTATGATGGCACAAATGACGGTGGTGGGAGTAGATGGACGTTGATATATGCGTAGTCTGCAATAAGATCTTTTAGTGATGCGGCCGCAGAGTTCAAGGCGTCTTTCTCCAGATACTGAGTGTAATGATGCACGTGAGCCTGCAGATGTTAAGCGGCCAGTTGGAGTGTCTAGATCTACAGAACTGTTCTTTCTAACCAGAAATTTTCAATGGATGCAATAAAGAACGTCGAAACTTGCTCTGGGCTTACCTGCCTAGAATACAATTTCAGAAACCTGGCCAAGATGCGACTTAAGTGGTGCCGAATTTCGCATGAATTCAACAAGCTGAGGAGGGACATCCCCTGTGAGTGCACAGGAGCAGACGGATCAATCCATCCCTCGATAAACTTCGCCCATATTTTAAACCATAAGTTGAAGTGTTCGAAGTTTACGGTTAGAGGCCACGCTGAATTCATGCCCTTCCCCTGCTTTCCTAATCTAGTGAATGAAGGGGCTCCAGCTAACCTGACCAGGTGGTGGAGTTGAGCATATTCCGAGCCTGGTGGAGCCTCTACAAAACGACGGGAATCGTAAGTTCCTCTTCACCCTAAAGACAAGAGGACTGTTTACACACTGCCTTCACGCTCGGCTGAGTCGTCGAGACATTGTACGCTTACAGCCCTTTCGATGAACGACATACCTCTCAGCCAGTTGGACAATGTCACCCATTACGCACTGGCCTCTGAATAGAGCTGCCCAGGTTAGACACCTGAGAAGACGATCCAACTTTTGAAATTTGGCGTAGTAGCCGGGAATGTTCAAAACACCAAGCAACACATAGGAACATTCTCAGTCTTGAGGGAAAGCCTTTCATTTCAACGAAGAGGCCAGCAACTTTGTGGGGCCCTGCCTTACGTGCTGGCTTTTGGATGAATGCCTAAGAGCTGATGACTGGGAGATAGAACGTCAAGCAGCATATCTACGCATCGTGAAACCGCTTGACTGCTAATACGCCTGAAAGGCATTGTTTTTTTGTCGCGTGGATCGACTAGATTCGAGGTTCCTTGCTGTTGACGAAGGTTGGACTCCAGAGGAGATAACGCACTAACCAAAAAGTGGAGACCCTTGTACGGCACCAGATTGCTACTAATGTCCAGCAAATCCATGTCTAACGGGCCACTGAATCTCACGGAGCTGAGACAGCGCCCATCAGGTGTGTAGCAACAGAGATTGTTTTCCTAGTTGCTTCCGCTAGCTTTCATTGCAGGATAAGTGCTCTGCATTAGCAGTGCACAGGGGTGTCTCGCGGTGTGAGCAGACCAAACACACTGGATTGAACGAACCTTGTCAAGTGCGCCAGCATTTGAGCAGCCACTGCATTAGCATGTGCGAACGGTTTGGCTGGGTTGAGATTCTCTAATCCCGGGACCTTCTGAGCAAAAGCCACACAGTTACCCATAACCTCCGCAGGAGTTTAACATAAATGAGGACACCGCTTTTTACAATGGTTCTTCAAATAACAACTGAAAATGATATCAACGTGGCCTCAGGTCCAGACAGTAGGACTGAGAAGCGTCGGCAAAGGCGGGGTATCTCCGAATATTTCCTCACCTGAGTTAGCGAGTCATTGCAGAGAGGAAAAACACACGTAGCATCTTGCCGAAGCCCCTGAAGAGCCAGCGTCGCGTTGTAGGGTGAAGTTATTACATCATCTGTTTCCCCAGGGCTGACAGCGCAGACGAGGCGTGCAAGCTGAGGGTGCAGATCTGCCATCACTGAGCGCAAAACCCTCTGCGTATGACCGTTCTGATGCAGCAACGGTGGTGGCAATCACTGGAGCAGAAGGAAGCAGTGGAACTGCTTACTTTCAAGGCATTTACTGCCAAGCCCTGATCCAGTCCCTCCACCGAGGGAATGAAGAAATAGAAACGCCTGCGTGAACTCAGCTCACGTGATATACCTTGCAAAACATCGTGAAAGAGTCTACCGACGCCAGGAAAAAAACACTATTTCCACTACAATTGCGCTATAGGGTTTCTGGCACTCGATTGCTTATCCACGCAGCCAAGATTGTGCTTAGCTGGTTGGTTCAGCGTGCTGGACCCAGTATCCTGGAAAAAGTCATCGAGACTCGCCTGTGGTGAGTCACAGTCCTCCAGGGCCCTTGACACTGTATCAGCGATTGATGAGCAATGGAGTTGCCCATATACCTCGTGGCCGTGAGCCCTGTAAGAAGTAGCACGTACGCAGCCCGGCTCTGCAAGCTCTTTGCCCATGCCTGTGGGGGCTTTGCACTTGCGTGCTCTGAAAGCGGAATTCTTGCATCCCTTCCGAAATAGTGTTTCCAGTTGGCGTCGTGCTATTTTGACGTTAAGTTACCAGTTGTTTCCAGAGCCTGAAACGTCGGTGACCAGAAGCGTGTCGTCAAAAAGGGAGCTCAAGCGCCCACGAAGAAGACGATTTACAACGCCCTCTTCCATATCGATCAAGATGGCCTGGGCATTCGAGGAGTTTCAAAGAGCTGAAAATGTGTGGCATTTCCAGCGGAGTCAACGCTGAACTGCCACAATGCAGAAGCCCAGAAAGGAGTTGGCATAGCTCCTAAATTACTCTTGGTTTCATTTGCTTACCCTCGCCTTAAGATCTCCTGCCCCAGCTTCGCCCATCCTCAGCCGGCTGCACAATGCAATGAGATGATAAGACAGTTCGATAGCCCCACCACGGGCAACCATAAAATCATTCAACTTCAACAAGAGCATTCAACTTGGGCTAGAGTACCTATTGGTGCGAAGCCTAAAGATTGACGATGTCCCTTCGTCAAAAGTGCTTGCATGCACCCCGACTGCTGTTGCTGCAGGCAGAGCGCTAGTCAACTTTGGGAGGTGCTCCTTGAGGAGCACCTCCCAGAGTTGACTTCCAATCTGATTTCCACATTGTCCAATCTGAAATGTGATGACTTCGCGGGGCATCGCATCCAGGTTGCCTGCAGTTTTCGCTCCGACAAAGTCAAACACTTTCAAAGTCAGCCTCAAGCGCTGCACGAGACAGCACCTACTAGTTTCCCGCAGAAAATGCTCACTCGACCAGCTGCACCTTTCTGGGGAAAGAGACATGCGCCGCTGATGAGTTTTTTGCTCTGCGCTCTCTGGAGCTGTTTCAAAATTGCTGGCTGACTCTAATTTTTGGTGCCCGCAGGATCGCGTCCCGAGTCGTGCGTTGCATGGGAAAGACACGGGATATTTGGAAGTGACCCTACCAACCACGACCCTGACAAATGAAGACAATGGAGCTTTCCTATTCCCATTCGCCAAAACAGTTGCATGGTTGGACGTACTGCTGCAGCCTCACAACGCGAAATAGACGACAGAGCACGTGCAGGAAGGGAGAGTCCTTTTGAGTTTCGCCACCGGCAATATCTACAACAAAAGCAGAAAAAAATATTGTGCGAGGGGCATAATACCAACAGCCGGCGTGGGATCGGTTAGCACAATGGGATCGGCCCCACACGGTCAGTGCGGAAGGACTGTTGTTACTTGGGCACCCACAACATACTTTCATTGCAAGGAAAACGCCATTACGGCAAATGCATGCACTTCACAGTTTTAGGGCTTGTGGAGAATTACTTTTTTGCGCGAGACCATGTAAGATGGGGACTGGCAACCTGCTGCTGGAATGCCAGGTTGCCGCCGACCCACAGCAACCTCTGTAAACCACGACTTCAAAAGGGAAAAGAAGTTCTGTTGATCTATCGAAAATCACATTTCTGTGAGTTTTCATTACTACGAACTTGGCGTGGGTCCGCTTTTGGGACCCATGGGCCGTACAAGTCAGTTACTTCGCAGTACAACCGTTTTGGACAGCTGGTCCTGCACAAATTAATGAAGGCACCACCTAAGGTCCTTGGGAAGAAAGGCCCTCAGTTGGGGCCTTTTCCCCAGAGAACCTATAAATTGCCATCTTCGCCTTAAATGGTCCTTCAGTTACTATGCGTGTGAGTAGTGGCGCGAGCCTGGACTTCATGAGCGTGGTCCCTTACAATGCTCCGACAGTATTAAACAAATAGTCAGGAGCACGTTGGCTCCCTACTTCAACAGTACATTCTTCGGTATAGAATCTTGAACTGCAGCTCGAGACTCACTCACTCACTGAGCACTACAGGATCTACTGAGTGCAGGAAAGCTGCTTCAACACAACGCACTCTCTGCTGCATTCGACTAAATAGACTGCGATCGGTCCAACTGACATGCACTGCAGGCTGGAGACAATTGTTCACCATAGAAATTCGCCAAAGTTTAATTACACATAGCCCCAGTTTCATCCGCCAGAGCTACTTAATGCACGCCTCTCGGCGCCGCCTCCATGACTCTTAAAATTGCTTAAGTTGCGCATCCAAGGTGCATTTATCTGCCCCTTTGCAACGGAGGAAAATCTAGTGGGAGAAGCTAGATGCACTCTTCGAAAGCCTGGCCATTGTGACATGCCTTGGCAAAAGGGCGACAGTACAACGATAAATCTGTCCCAGCTAGAAAGTCCAGAACTGCTTCATCATCATTGGGAGCGCGCAGAAGCCATAGAGACAACGCATACATGCTCAGATGCGAAGAGAAAGGGAGTGTTAGCCAGGAGGCTTTGGGGGCAAAAATGAAGTTAACCTAAAGTAGGCCTAATATACCATATAGCTGCCTTATAATGGGTGGTACTGAGATCCTCATTCGTCGAGCTGCGCAACAAGTGCTGTTCCTCGCTTTGTCCATATGGCTTCTGAGTCTCCCTCTTGTATTGGCAGAGGGACTGAAAGTATAAAGTTTGACGAGGGACCTAATGCAGAAGAAGCCGCTAGACAGATCAAACAGGAAACGTGCATTAAACAGCCACCGCCAACGCTGGCGGCTCGCGACTGCTAAACAAAACCCTACTCACCAGAAGTGTTTCGGGTTCCGGTTCGGCTTGATGTGCAGTAGAGGGGGCATTCGTATGCTCGCTCAGGGCGAGTTACTTCATGAAGGGGTGTTGGTTGAAGGCGCAAGAGTGGGAGCGGAGAAAAAACCTCCCAATAATCTTGTTCTACAAGAGCCTGAGATATGCAGTGCATCGGTTGTATATACAGACCAGTTGGAACTTGAGTGAGGAAACACTCAGGAAAGGCTATTTTCCACGGTGAATTGTTAGAAGTAATCACTGTTCACATCCTTATCATGCGGCCTTCTGCTTTTTCTCCGTTTCCCGTTGTTGGTGTATCTGCGTGTTCCTGCCGGTGTTTAGTTAATGAACGCCACACGAACAGCCCTGACGAAAAATGGCGTCATCATGTGAATGCACTGGTGGCGGCTCGAAAACGAATGCAATGCAATTAGGATATTTGCACTGCACAATGAAGTGCACAGCCTTTTGACACAGGCTCCACTATTGAGAAGAACCCTCACCTTTTCTTCTGGAGACCAGCTGGCCCCATGCAAGAAAAGGCCTGATACGTCATGTGCAAAATTTGGGGCAGATTCACCGCCTTTTTGCTGCTCGTTCGCAGGCGCGTTAGACGCTGCAGCGTCTTCTTCATCATCCAGAACGCAGAACGTAAAGCCTACTGAATCTATTTTTAGGCTTTGACGCCTCGCATACTGCTGTAGCATGGCTGTGCAAACGCTTCGAGGACTGAAACAGCCTGGGAGCCAGAACGGTTGTGGAGGCTGGCCCCGTAGCCACATTGCCATAAAATCAACACGACGCCTTAGATTGGCCATCCAAGCGGCCAGCCCAAACGCCATGGGATAGCTTGCTGCTACCACTGCCTGCGGCACACGGTTCTGCCTCAGGCATTGGTACATTTCTTCAACTTCCGCTGTGTATTCTATGACTCCCTCAGCTGCATCCTGAGAGCAAAGAAGACACTGAATATGCTGAATACGCTCGTTATTCATGCACATTGCCTTTATCGACGCGGCCATGCCGATTTAAGCAAGCTATCCTTAAATGACGGACACAGTCTGCAGACCAGTCCCCATGGCAGAAGTCACCTGAACAAGCTGGAGACACTTCCGCGTAATGCTGATCAGCGCATTGTACCGTGCCAGCTCTTGGAGTAATGCCGCATCCAGTGCATTCTCATAAGGATTTACCATTGAAGATAAAACCTCTTCCACATTGAATAGCGGAGGTAGCTGGGCCATCAGAGAAGCCGCTCGTTCCGTAAACTCGTTGCTGTTCCCTCCTGCAGGGGCCGTAGGCCCCGAGCTAGGCCTTGAAACCTGCTGCTGCTGAACTTGCATCAGAAGGTGCTGCATGGCGGAAGACTCAGCTGTTGCCACGGCGACTGCAGCATTGGCTTGTAAACCGAAAAGCTGCGACGCAAAGCATGATTAGCCTTAATGCAGAGATTAACTTGCATCTCAAGCTCCACTTCGTTTTCCACTAGGGGAGTTTCCGCTACCCCGCCAAAAGAACCCTGACTCAGAGTGGGTTGTGCTGAGAACCGTATGGATATCGTACGCTGCTGATGGCAACAAAGCATCAACAACTTCTTCACCAATGGCACAGTCACCTCTGGTTCCTCTTCAGCTGGAAGTGTCCTGATGTGCGCAAGGGTTTCAGCGCACGTAAGGCTGGGTGAAGGGGTTATGAATGCTCCAAAAACGGACTGACGGGAGTCTCGTTTCAAACTTTCCTCGGTAAGCTCTTCTTGACACAAGTGGTAGAGGAGCCTCCTACGACTCAATCAAGGCACGCCTGACCACGACGAGCATTACCCTTGTGGTTTCGTCCGGTTGAGAACGGACAGCAGTGAGCTTGCTGTTTGGAATGGGCTGAAGCTTACCGGTCCCACTCGTCCGTCACTCTGCCGCCGTAATTGACTTCTGATACAAGGTGCTGTAAAAGGCTCCAAGGCAAGGGTTGCAAGCCATCTGGAGGTACAGCAGCTTGCAACTGCTGTAAAGAAATTGCCAAGTCAGTAAACGAAAACTCAACGGGGTTAACCCAACCCAGCGGACCGAAGCGGCGGCGACCGAGCAGAAGCGCATGGAGTAAACAAATTCGATAAACCACTGGTCTTAAAGCGTTAGCTCTTGGGTGTGCGTCCTACGGTTTGAGGAACATAACGCCGCAATGCGCAATTATGAGATCAAGGCTGCGTAAACTGCTATGTAAGGATGAATGGCTCCGCTGAACAGTGTATCAGTAAGCCACAAGGCAAAAACCATCAGAGAGAGGGGAGTCTTTGCACGAACAACGGCTTAAAATGACTTCACTGCGGATGCGAATGTGACCTACAAGCCATGTGGGGAAAGCTTCGCTGTAGATGCGAACCAAGTTTTGCCGCAGGCCTTGGGGACACTCATAGGCCAGTTTCAAACTTCGCTGGAGGAAATTGGAATGAACACAAATATTACACCCGTGAGGTCAGGCCTTAGTAGTTAGGCATGTATAGGTGCACTGGCTGAAGATAGAGGCCCGGGTGGTTGCGAGATAGCAGAGAAGCACGCACGCTTGCGTGCGTGCGCGGGAAGGGTAGAGACCGTGCGCACGAGAAGGATAGCGCTGGGGAAGTCATCGCACGGAACAGTAGTCAAAATCAGCCGAAAGTCCTTGTGGGGAGTTTGCATCGCCAAGTCAGTAACAATGACACTCAGTTGCTTCAAGAAACCCAGCCCAAGGTGACAATTTTGGAGAAGTACCCACTGACCGCTCTCTGCACCGCTGCTGATCGCTGCAGACAAAGCGTCCCATTCTTTTAAAGGGGCTGCTCTGTATCCGCAGACCTTCACTGCACGCTAGAAGGAAAGAAAGACCATTTAGGAAAATGGGGCCTTCTAGGCCGTTCACAGAGAGCCGCAGCACTACGAGTAGAGGGCGCAGAGAACGCTTCCTAATCTGTTCACTAGTTTCGCTGCACTTCAGTACATCGGGGGTACCGCATCCTCACCAGCAGCTGCTTTTGGACCTTGCCCTTTGCCCATGGCAACTGAAACGAACTTGTTGCGCATATGCGTTTCTTCGGCATGTTGTAATAGCGCTTCTTGGGGGTCTGCTCCGGGTCCAAGTATAATGAGGAGGGGGCGTTTTGATCCAGCCGATTCTAGGGCTTCGCCGAGACCCAATGGGGATACCTCTCCCAAAACTGTGCCTAGCTCAGCCTGTGAAACCTGCTGTAGGCAACTTCGAAGGCATTCGGGCCTTATGCATTGAACTAAAAGGGTCTGCTGCAGTAGTGAGAGCCGCTCGTTCCAGCAGTCGGGCCAGTCGCTAGCTAAAGGGTTCTCCTCATAGAGTGTGGCTTCCCAATCACCGTCCCCTTCCAAAACTGAGGAGACAAGGGAGCTGAATGGCTCTCCGAGGCGACGAAGGCCCTCGAGTTTTTCGCGAGAGCTTGTTGACAGCCATGAGGCATCCACGGCCTTCGGTGCTGCTGAAGAGGAGTCGCGGCTTTTATTTGCCGTCTCGTCCACGCTATGCGGCAGAACAAATGGTGCTTGCAACTGCTGCATTTCCTCGTGTGTAGTTGCCCCTCTAAGTTGAAGAGATTGCAAGGCAAGGAGGACCGGTAGTAGTGGCTTGTGACTCTCGAAAAGGCACGGGTTAATACTGCCGTATACTCTCCGTAACGTTGCCCCTACTAAGTCAGACGTGTAGAGAGAAACATCTTGCTGTCTTGAGCCCGCATCCGGTCTTCCTAGGACTTCCTGAGCAATGTGGAATTAAGTAAACACCAAGAGTAGTTACTGATTTTTGAATCAATCTACCAAAAGATATGCTACAAAGTACTGCATGCATATACAAAAGTGCTATTCCCTATGCCACTTTGCATTAGTCCATAGTGTCGGTCCCGGCCGCTTACGCACCAAAACAGCGTCGACGAAACACTGTTGGAAGATCTGAACGCTGAAGAGATACATGGGATGAGCGCTTTCGAGTTGCTGTAGTACTTCAAATAGGCTAGCTGCCCGCCGGGCGACAGGCGAATAGACCGAGAGTGTTGCATCGGCAGCAGCCTGGGCTTTTTGTTGTTCTTGAAGTCTTTCACTGCAGCTTTCGGAGACGGCCTTTGCATGGCGAAGCGTACTAAGAAGCTCCAAATCATCTAGGACGCTCTCCTGCAAACATCCACACGGACTATCGCATGGAATAAATTAGGATTGATGATTGCTCATATGCGATGCCCCTTGGTTTCAAGAACTAGGGGTAGTACTGGCACTGGCTATTCACGCACAAAGTTGAACATTTGTGCGTACAGCCTTTCACGTAACCGGATACTTTTGTACCCGAGGCATTCGACGCAACGGTAACCTGCCGCGTGTGGAAAACTACTCGACGCCCGTGCTGCATCAGCAACAGTTAGCCTCACTTTGGCGTTGCTCAGGGCTTCAAGCATGCGCTGTTCCGCAGACACAAGTTGCGCACGAGTTTCTGCACCCTCGTGAACAAGACGCAAGCAAGTTGCGTGAATATCTGGGGCAGCAGCTTGAAGTGCAAGTCGCAGCAGTCGTTGTTCTAGACCTTTGCATCCCACAGAAAAGTCAATGAGGGTAAGCCTAGAGCAGACTTCCGGAGGAAAATGCGGAGCATTTAGTGGGGTCTTTAGCAGCAAGCGGAATTCGGGGTGCACTTCCACAAGAGCACTGCCTAGGGCAACACTGGAAGATGCGCTTCCCTCCAGCTCAGTGTGGGCAGTGTCCACCGAAGTAGGGCTTTCAAAGGAGGCCGCGATTCTCCGCGGCCGCTTCCACTCCAGCAAATTGTTTAGAGCAGGGTCTAGCCGCTCAGAGAAGCACTCAAGAATCACCGTCGCTCCGCACTGAATGAGGAGTTGCAGTGACCTCAGAAGATTGGGCTCTTCAGCCCGAAGCACCTAAAAAAGACAGAACATTGCAGGTACCATGCTGCATGCTCAGAATTAGGTCGCTTATGTCATGTAGTCAGGCAAATTGCTCTTCGAACGTTGTCGCGCACCTACATCACTGCACATACCTTCATCTCAGGGAAAGTGTAGGCTAACCAGTTCGCCGCCTGCTGGTGTGGATCGATGAGCATAGGACAGCACTGCGCATTAAGTGTGATGGCCGCATTTTCTACGGAGAGTTCGTCATCCGGGAGCCCTTGCATAAGCCATTCCTGCACTTCCTGCGGACTGGTGAGTGCGTCCTGCAGGGAATAATAAGGCGTGCTTTGCAGGCCGAACTTCTTCAGTGCCTGTTGCCATGCTGTGAGGCATCTGACTCTGTAAGAGGGACGGAAAATGCCGCCGAATTCTACGAAGGCAGCGCTCAAGGTTGCATCTCCCGTTACTCGTGCCACTTTGCTCTGCAGAGAAAGTCCGGAGTACACGCTTTT